CTTGTATGCTTTTCATACAAGTTTCACACAAGACAGATAGAAACTTTATAAGATTTATATATATCTCTTTTCCATATGGGTAGGGAGCCATATGTTTTATGAGGTGGTACTCATTGTGAAAAGTTTGAGAACCACTGCTGTAAACAAAGCAGCACTTCTGAGCTGCTTCAGCAGGCAGGCCACACCTTTTTCTCATCCCATAACACGTGATTTATTCTCAGAAACATTATCCATGCTAGATACAATATCTTCCCAGTACAGGAGCAGGACTATCTGTCAACCGAGGTCAATTTGTTGGGGAGGACAATTTGCAGGTTACAGAAAATGCTTCTTCTCATAAGGTAAAACTAAAGTTGCTTCTCGTGTATTGAATCAAAAATATATTAATCTTAGCATGTTGTTTAGGGTCAGGAACATACCCACTGTTTTTCCTGATCCCGGCTATAGAGGACACCCTGCCTTCTCCACCATGGTTTCAAAACTCCGCAGCCAAATACTATTATCATTGAGAAACACTGGTAAACATTATAAACTCATTTTCACATTTAGAATAATATAGTCTGTCATTTTATTCATATAACCATTCATATAACCTGTTAAAAAACAGGACAAAGCCATCATAAACATCTTTACCCATTGAGCTCCCACAGAAACCATGTCTAATCCCTGTGTGTTACACCCTCTTCCCTGTGAAATTCTGGTGTTAGTTTCCCTATTTATGTTGTTGCTTTTGAGCCAGGTCATAACACTGTGGAACAAGTGCAAAATTTCCAGTGTAGAGGAAGGGGTCTCTCTCCTTCCATTTACTTTTATACAGCAGTGGCAGCAGTGAGTGCAATCTGCAATGTGCAACTAGTCTAATAGAATGCAATTCTACTAGTAGACTAGTAATATTTGTACAGTATATTTGCACAAGAGTTTTGTACCTGGATTTTAATTGAATACATTTCATTAGTGGCTTTTCCAGAAGGTAGTCAGTCATTGAAGTTAACCAAATCATATTCAAAGCATGCAAAGTGTTATTGTTGGACTAGCCTTCTCTTTTAAATAGAGACTGACGGCAACTATGCTTCAGTTTTACCAGCTTTCACAGGATCTCAGAAGCATGTCTAAAAAGTTCAGAAATTCAAATAACCAAAAGTGTGTGAAATGCAAGGTTTACCAATAAGATAATTTATTTACAAATTTAACAAAGGCTAATATTTGCTATGCAAATAAAAAAATTTGATTGTCAGGTTCTTTCACTGTCAAAGGAAGGGTTAAGTGGTGGTCAGAGTGAGAGAGAAACCACTCCCCCCAATAAGAATTACTTACAACCTGAACAGAAACTAAACTAAATTTCACTTCTATCTGACCATCACAGAATGCAGATCCTTGCGCTGATCCTTGGGATCCTGCTGCTCCCTAAAAGCAAGTTTTTCCTTGGTTATCTGTTCTTTAACATTTTAAAGAAAGTTCTGTAATTTCAATGAAACTTTTTTTTATTGCTTTTACATCATGTTATTTACAACCCAGCAAAAAATGTGTCTACTTCCTACAAATGATTGTACTATTTATTGTACTTTTAGCCCTTTGTTTGAATCTATTTATTTTAGTTGGAGTTTCAGGATTTGTCCATACGGTTAATGCAAGAAAAGTTGATTTAACTCCTTATTTAAATGTCTTTTATCAGCATGTCCATTGGAATGTTATGAATGCATACCAGGACCATCTGGAAGCTGCAATGAGACAACAAAAGAATGTCCATCCAATACTCAGTGTGGTTCAGTCAGAATGATTTCAAATATGGGTAAAATGGTATTTTATAGTTCTTCTATTATTTTTTGAAGTGACCGAGTTTACAATGGTTCCTCTTTGGTTTCAGGTGGTTCAGAATTTAAATTTATGGGGAGAACTTGTGTTACGCCTGATCAGTGCTTCAGTGGCTCAGTCAACTTTGGATTTGCCCAAGTTGTAATTAACAGCAAGTGTTGCACATCTGATCTGTGCAACTCTCAAGATGTCCCTGGTAATTTACAACATGTTTCTTGGTATTTTGAAATAGTATTTCCTGTTGTGATAAATAAGTAGATTTTATTAATATTGTGGAAGAAGTTACAAAGTGAGCCAGGTTTAGGAAAATTAATTTTTTCTCAATCACTGAGTTCTCCTGATGGATGAGGATTACAGTTTTTTACAGTCGCTAACAAGCGCCTACCCATACTTCAGATACTTTTTCTAAACTCTTAACACAGACCCACACCTACAAAACACAATTGGCCAAATGGATAATATCCTTCCCAAAAATACACTCTGTTAAATATATACTAACTCCTCATTTCAAAATTAGAACACATCTTTCTCTGCACACACTAACTGTACAAAAACACTATAAATCTGACTCAAAATGAAATTAGTCTGTCAAAGAATAACACTTGTCTTCACTTCACAAGGTACATGCAGTCAATCAAAGTACACCAGGTGTCAAAATACTGGCTATTATTGACATTACAAAAACTGCATAGACTTTTATGTTTCAGTTTTACAGGTATGTGCATGCGAAACATGCAATCCACCATTTTGACACCAGAAATGTCTTGGTTGGTAACTGCATGTCCACATGTACAGTAATGTTCACATTCAAAAGCATTCCAGTAAAAAGCAAACAAGTTTCTGTGTCTTTACTGTTTACTACAGGAGGTACAGTAGAAACACGGTATGATAGGACAGAGAAAGTGTCACAGTATTGCTTACAGTGAACAAAATATCCATGGAACACACAAGAGCATTCTGAACAAAAAAACAACAGAAAGACCATGGTTGATTACATGGTCAATGATAGTGGCACGGATTTCATCACTGACTACTGTTCTTGCAGCCCTTGGAATGCCACCACCACGCATTCTTACACCTATACCTTGCCCTCTCCTTGGGCCTGCTCTTCTCTCTGGGCCCCTTGCTCTTACTCCTCCTCGACCAGACATTACAGTGTTTGTCTTTTTTTTGTTTCCAAAAACATCACTCCTCAAGGTCTTGCCTTATGAACCCCACTGAGTCTAAGCCAGAATGGAAGAAGGTGTGGTTGGCCCAATTTACCCAACATAAATCAGCTGTGTGTCAATTATTCAATTGTTTGTTTGTTTACAGCTGAGATATATTTTTGATATTGATATTGTTTTTGTACTGATATCATTGCAGGGGCAGAGGTTTTTATACTGTATCTACGGTTTGGAATATTGTTTTTGCTATTGTGGGATGTTGTGTGTTAACATTCGTAGATACTACAAGAACAGTCCATAGTTTTGTTGGGAGGTATAACTTGTCTGTTAAGAAAATGTAAGCATTGTGGAAATGTGTTCACTGACTGCATATTGGGTGAACACGACATGAAATGTGTGAATGGTATGGCCACAACAGACCGATCCTGTGCTAATTGTGTTTAGAGTTTTGCAAATGTGACAACTGTTTGGACAAACGCTTGTTAGCGACTGTAAAAAACTGTAAAGCATCCAGTATTTGCATATCTGATGTTTTTTGGCACTTTGATAAAATAAGGAAACAAATAGGACATATATATTTGTGCTTCATAGATTGGAGCATACCCTCGCCAAATGGGAAAAAATGCTCGCAATGTGATGGAAATGACTGCACCAAAACTCTAACCTGCAACAGAAATGAGGACTACTGCATCTCAGCAGCAGGTAGCAGGCCTAGAACATTAAGTTTCTGTATGTTTATTTTCTGCTTAGAGGAATATTCAGTGATTCCTTTTTTAAAACTTGCAGCACAGTAGAATAATTTTTGTTTTCTCAGTGAATGCAGGAGGGGAAACTACTAAAGTAAAGGGCTGCGCCTCCAAGATGATTTGTTCAAACACACAAACTGCACAGCTCTCAGGAATCATTGGAGGAGAAGTCAGCTGCTGCCAGGGTGACCTCTGCAACAGTGATACAACAACAGCATCACAGCCCAGCAGCACAACTGCTGGCACAACAACAGCGTCACAGCCCAGTACTACAACTGCTGGCACAACAACAGCATCAAAGCCCAGCAGCACAACTGCTGGCACAACAACAGCATCAAAGCCCAGCAGCACAACTGCTGGCACAACAACAGGATCAAAGCCCAGCAGCACAACTGCTGGCAAATCAACAAGTACCATCCTTGTATGCTTTGTGGCACCACTGATCGCTTTGGTCTTTTTCTCTTAGCTGATGAAAAAAAATAGCACGCCTTCTTAAAATGACACGCTATTATCTATATAAACGACTTCACTATAATTGACTAAAGATAACACAGTTTTATGCAGCATCTAACTTCCTGGTGAGTGATCAAGGGGACTGCTTAATATCTACTATAGCACAGATGATTATTAATGCTCCATATAATTAGATGTTGTTCATCCTAACAGATACAACTTTAAAAAGAGCGACAGATAGCCCAGTACTGATAGGAATGAGCCAGAGACATACTATGATGAGAGAGAAGGAGAAAGGCAGAGACGAGAGAGAGAGAGAGACAGAGAGAGAGCAGAGAGAGAGAGAGAGAGAGAGAGAGAGAGACAGAGAGACAGAGAGAGAGCGGAGGAGGAAGAGGAATAATCATCGAAGATTAAAGGCTTCAATCACGGTACAGGCATGTCATTGTTAACATGTGTACATAATTATACGTATATATCTAAAATATCCATCACAGTTAATCTGTACTTAACCTCTGGGTGGTCTTGGGTCGATTTGTGCCATTTTTCATTGTTCGTATACACGCCATTTGCACTGTGTTGAACGGAATATAGCCAACTTTTCCAAAAAAAAGTCTGGTTACATATATTTCAAAATTCCAGTCTGACTCCCTTAAATTAGCTTCAGTGGCTGAGCTACAGATAAACTTACACTATTGGTCCTAGTGGTCGATTTGTGCCCCATTGAAACCCATTATAAACGCTATTTCCCATTCCACGGTCATTACAACCAAATAATGGGCCATCTTCCGAATGTTGGTGGTACTCGGGAGTCCGGGCCTTGGAATTGTATCTTTTGGGAAATATTTGATTTCTTTGTTTTTTGGGGCTAAAAAAACAGTGCGGCCATGTGACGAAACCGGGATATAAAGGGTTAAAATCCGCGAAATGTAATTAAAACTTGATATGAATATTTCAAGGAGAAGTAGGTCTAAAAGATTGGCTAATTTAAAGTGGAAAAAATATTAATATATAGATATTTTATAGCACTTTTCATGGCGTGGTTGATTTGTGGCTCTAAGCCCAATAGTGTATGCATTTTTCTAGGACCCCCCAGAGGTTAAACTGTATTGAAACTTACTTTGAGAACCACCACACAAACTGATTGCACAGCATATTCTACTAAAAAGTCACTGATCATAAAAATACATAAATAAATAATTTACAAGTCTGTCCTATGAAAACAATTATTTGCAGCTTAATAATGCTTCAGCAATGAAATAAAACAATCTTAAAGAGGATTCAGTAAATGAACTGATTCAAAAATAAAAAGAAACAAATCACTTTAATAAAACAGAAATATCAATCAAATGAACTCAATTAAAACTACAACAATTCAGTTATTTAAAGAAGCTTTAAAAAGGCCTTCAGCAGCATCAGGATTAAAAGAATAATGCAGCATAGTTGTTATTCTTCTTTAATCGTGAAGACTTCTAATTAGTATGTATTTAATTATCTAGACCCAGATAGCACTGCGCTATGGACCCTATGAAGCCTTAGATCTTTGCCCAGTTGGTTGTTTAACTTTGCAAACAACAGATGAAAACTACATTGCTACATTTAGCAGAGGTCACATTATGAGTGACTTTGTGTTACACAAACAAAACATGGATAACTTTCACATGAAGAATTCTGTAAAATGCAATTCTTGTTGTATGTTGCAGACTTAGATTAAAAGGAATTGAAACCAGCATAGCGTTGTGAGTCCGCCTTTACTGTAACTTCTGCAAATATATAGATATTTTTATACACTTGTACACCATCTGACATAGCTTTTATTAGGCGCACTGTATTATGGTGAGTGGCCTGGCTTGTTTCAAACTCAAAACACCAATACTTCTTACAGTAGCATAAACGAAATAACCCTAAACAAAAGTCTGATTCCCAGGTCTGAATTAACTGTGATTACAGTCCAGTACAGGTAGACATCAACCACAGTGCCACGAGGTTTTCACACAAACTGGCAAATTAGCTCTAGCTGCTAACTGGTAGCTTCATGGCTAATCTACATTGCTAACAATAAATATACAGTAACCACACATGATGGGAATTAACAGCCAACTTTCCTACATTCCCTGCAACCATGTGGACTTATCTTAAGACCAAGGTCAAGTTATTTACTATTTTTATCTGCTTAAGTGCAAATATATAGCCATAGTAGTATATTGTTACACGCTTGTACACACTTTCACACAGCTTTTGTTAGGCGCACTGCATTAGGTGAGTGGCCTGGCTCGTTTACTCCCACTTCAGCTGCTCATTTCAGGAGATACTCCCTCTTGTGGTGTAACGGAGAATAACTACTCTTCCAGCGCTATGTCTCGTTGGAGACTGGCGCACACATTATTTTACAACAATGTGTGCGTGAACAATCAGAACATTTTCACCAAATACAATATTGTAAATAAACGATTATGGGGGAAGGGTGTCTTTTTTTTGTTAATGTCTTCTTTTTTTGTCATTTCTTGTCCTCACATGTACAATTTTTTCTCCTGCTCATTAAATTTGATTGGTGACAGTCCCTGGATAAGCAAAAGAAGATGGATGGATTAAATTTGGTTAGTGACTTATCTACAAGTATCCCAAGATATCCACTGAGTGCTTAGTCATTCAAGTTAACCAAATCACATTCAAAATATGCAAAGTTTTATGGCTGACCTAGCTGCCAAAGGTTCTCAATAAAAAACATTACAGAGATGCACACAGATAGAAAAATCCCCAAAAGCAAGATGACTTAACTACGAAGTTAGCAATAACTGGAGCTGGGAGAAGAATTATTTATAAACTAGCAAACAATATTTTTTAAAAATCTAATACTTACACTTTATTCAGTATGTAGAAAGGGCAATCATAATTAAGCTGTTCAGTACAAGTTGTAGATTCAAGCTGCTCTTCATATTTTTGGCCACCAGGTGCCACAGAAGAGGACTGAGGTTTTTATCCTTTCAAGACTAATTTGACTCACTAATGATCGGCACAGGGTTTTATTTATTTATGTATTTTGCTCAAATTCACCAACTTATCATGTTTATATTACATTGACTTCATGCAAGGTCCAGTTTTTGGTCTCTTGTTATTGAATGTCCCTCTCTGTCTGTACACTGCTAAAAAATAGATTCAGTTGTTGATCTAAATGTACCCCAGTACATTTAGATCAACATTTAGATCAACATTTAGATCAATGTCCAACATGCAAATGCCCCCAGTTTCTTTCAGAAATCATCATTATTAACAGTCTCTACACTCTGTGTAGTGTTGTAGCATGCATCTCACTAGTGTTATTCTTAATCAGGGCCTGTCTCATCTTTGTACACTGCCTCAGTAAAATGAGGTCAGTACAATTTTAATTTTGCTTCAGCCAGCTGTGTTTTCAAATGTTGTGTGAACAGAATCTGCAGAATATCACAGCAGTTAATCTAACCAGTTGATCAGTTGTTTTGTTCTTTTTTCTGCTTTGAGACATTTTTCCACTTGTAAAATATGAATTATGAGCAGTAACAGCGTTACTAACAGCGTTACTTTTTTCAGTAATGAGTAATCTAATGAGTTACTATTTCTATCGTTAAAACGCCGTTACCGTTACTAACAAAAAAACGCGGTGCGGCCACGTTACTATTTTTCAACAAACAGACAGCTGAAGCTGTCTTCAGCTTACCGCACCTTATATCAGTTGTACGGAAGTATCTGCCTATGTAAGTAATCGGGGCGCTGCAGCTTTAAGCAGCAGCGCGCGCTCCCGCGGGCGGCAATCACTTTCTGCCCGACGATCACTTTTTGGCACAGCACCTGGAGCTCAGGGGGCAAAACATTTGCATGAGTGCTGCTGTTTGACTGAGGAAGAATATAGTAATCGTGGTAAGCCAAATAAAACAACCAATTTAAGATGACAAAGCAACAAGGTGATATATACCAGTTTTTAAATTGTGCTGATAGGCCACGTAAAACCAGAGTCATGATAAACAATATATATGCGGCGTTTTTTCCTCAATAGTTTCGTCACATTTACTGTCTAAGAACAGCGCTAGCAAGCACTCTCTGCTTATGAGCAAAAAATAAAAAAACAAAACAAATAGCAGAAATGTACAGAAAAATGTACCATGTCAACCAATCACAAAATGATATGGCAACATGACATTGGTTGTTTAGGGAGAGGGGGAAGTTTTAGGAGTGACGGCGCGAGAGAGAGAGAGAGAGAGCAGAAAAAGAGAGAGAGCGAGTTTTGAGATGTGAGAGATTTGTGACGTTTAGCGTGTTTGGAGTGTGTAGTTAATGTGTTGTCTTGTGTAGTTAGTGTGTAGTGTTGTGGATAGTTTTGTGTTGTGTGTCAGAACAATGAGGCGACTGCTGTCTCCAGGTAGAAAACAGGAGTGATACGCCTGCTGCTGTCAGACCTGCAGGTATCAGGCTATGATGTTGACAGAAATTGTTTTTTTAGAGTTGCACATATAATTTGTGTGGCATCGTATTAAATGCAAAACACCTGATTGTTATGTAAATAATTTGAAATGGTTATAAAAAAAAAGTCATTAAACATGTGTTTTTAAAAATATAACTTTTTCTACACAGATTTCATGTTTTTTGTCTGATTTTAGATCAATTGTGTTAATACAGTATGTCAAAATGAAAACATAACTGTAAATTCACACACGTGAGGTTGTGCTGAAAAGAATGATACCAAACAAGGCAAAGTAAAGAGTTTTTAAATCTGGTAACTCAGTTACTAACTAGTAACTATAATTAATTACTTTTTCAAAGTAACTTGCCCAACACTGATTATGAGATAACTAAGCGGTGTTGTAACTGTGTTGTGATGACTCTGTGGTGATGAAGAAGGAAAAAAGAGGATGAGACTTGATTTGAAGTTAGTTTTGAGCCACAGGTTTTCTCTTCCTCCTCTTCTTTTTTATAAAAAAGTTTATAGATATTTCAATCTTTCTTTTCCCAGAAGGTCCATTACCAGCATAGGGAGAAAATATATTTAAAAGCCACAA